TGCATTTCACCTTGGTGAAACCGAAGAGCAAAACAATCAATCGCCATGCTTTCACCCATCTACATCCAATGTTATTCATCATATTGATCAGTCGATGCTTCTTACGTTTTTCTAGTAATTTTATAATGCGGAGTAGATCAGGCTCACCACTCACATCCAAATCTAATCAAGCAAACAGCAGAGGTTCCTTAATTACTGCGGGGATGGGACCAGCCTTTATTTTCCTGTTTCGTTTGCCACGGGGTTCCCGTTTTCGATTCTGTTTCTTTTTGCCACGCGCATTTAGCCCAGGGTTAAGACTCTTAATCAGAACAAGTTTCAATGTTTCGATCGTACATTCTTCTCCGAACCAAATCGGAATAGAAACATAATGCTCCCATCCCACTTTCTGCAGCCAAGGGTGAATTTTTTGCTTACTGACTCCTTTTACGGATCTGCAGTGTTCTGCCCATCTATCCTTAAGGGGCCATACTGTCTTCCCCACGTACGTGAGCTTATGATTCAGAGACATTAGAACGTAGACACAACACTTAGCGCTGATTAATTGCTCCCATTGTTTAGTGCTCATACGCAACCAAAGAGGTACAAAGGCTTTCCCCCAACTAATAAGACCAAGCAAACAAGCAAGTACAATCAACAGAACGTGAACACGGTCGAGCAAAGCACAGAGTGAGCTGTCTACACGGTGCTTCAGGCCTGTAATCCGCTTCGTAGCCCGCATCAACGACCTCAGGCTGTAGCCGCCTAGTTTCCCCTGATGGGGTGTGAATCAGACTGCTTCGCGGGATCGACTTCATCCACGACAGGCTTCTTTGATAACTCGCCCTTCTTCGCGCCCTTCTCTTCCTTCAGGAGATCGGTGTAGTCTTGTAAGTCACGTCTGGCCAGTTCCCAAGCCCCCATTTCCTTGCGGAAATATTGGATGTTTTTTTCCCTACACAGTTCCTGCACGCGGGTGTAGTGTAGTGACCTGTAAAAATCCATTTGAATCTTCATGTACGCAGCAAGCCCCCCTTCATCCTCTTCTTCTTCCTCCTCGTCAGCATTCGGGGCATTCTGAGTGATATCGATGTCCTCGGTGTCTTCGTCCGTGGCAGCGGGTTTTGTACCAGTGGGTTCAATCACTTGTGCCTTCCCTTTTGCATCTCCCATCCCCTGCATCAAAGCTGCGAGCATACGTTTCATGTTAAAGAGCTCGTTGTTGTTTTCGAGTTTGGAGTGAAGGTTCTGCTTTACGCTACCCTCGCCTTCTTCGTCAGAGGAGACCTCGATGCGTTTCGGACGTGTCTTCAGACTTTCGTGTGAGCGGGACTTGGCGCGAGCAGCGGAAGGAGAGTTCTCAAGAGGGGTATGAGCGCTAGTCCTCTTCCTCTTCTTGTTGCTGGATGCGTCCTTACCCTCTTTACTCTCCTTCTCTCCGAGTTTTTCCTTCCGAAGTCGCTCCAGCTCCTCCTTCTCTGCCCCCGTCAACTTTGCCTTTGAATCGACCGCCTCTAACTTCTCGGTGATAAGTTTCAGCGAATCGCCGAGCGTAGTCGTTACCCAGACCTTCATTTCCTCCGATTTATCGGCCGCTCTTGACTCTGCCTGGCTGTTTTCTTCAGGAAGTTCAGTGATCTTCACCCCACTTCTACGGGAACAACCGATCTTCTTCCTCGCCTCCTCCAGCACCTTGTTCATCTTGATGCCTTCTAGAATGTCCATGTATTCTTTTGTAAAGTAAGCCCGGTTCCCAGGACCGGGAAAAGCATTTGCAGAATGGCCTTTAACACTCCCGGAAGAGTTTCCGCCGTGCCCGTGCTGCGCTGGCGGATTACCAGGGTGCAAGTACTGAGGGGGTGGTGGAGGAGGAGGAGGAGGAGGAGGAGGAGGAGGAGGTGGAGGTGTAGGAGTAGTAGTAGTTGGGGGAATTACCGGCGGTATACCGGGAGGAAACGTAGGTGCTGCCATTGGGTGTGCTGCGACCCAAGGAACATGCGCAGGCCACTGTCCCGTGTGAAGCCACGGATGCGCACCCCATTGTCCATTGGAGAACTGTATTGGAGCAGCTTGCTGTGGCATCGCAGGAGCCTGCCCTCCGGCATATGGGTATGGTTGGACAGGAGCGATACCAGGCGGAGCTGGGTTGCCTCCAGGGTATGTCATTGCCGCATTCCCCGTTGAGTACCCATTGCTCCCGCTACCCTCCATCCAATACCGGTCGTCGCCCGACCACTTGCCCCGCCGGCCGGGCTTCTTGCCGCGACCCCTTCCGTACATACGACTTAGAAGAATGATAGCAGCAAAACTAAACCCCGCGCAAAAACCGACGAGGAGTTTCCAAGATGATGGCCACTAGAGCGGAAGACCTCGCCACCATACCAGTAGCACCTTCCTTCGCGCGCTACGATGAGCCTAAACAGTACCTTCGCACGAGCCTTCGCACGCGCCTCCACGGAATGGGCAGGTTGCAACCTCCGGTACGTAGAAAACGTATACTCTTCGTAACTCTACCCCAGTTGGAAACATGACATAGATCGGTGGAGGATACGGCGTCGAAGCAAAGAAAACCCTATCGAACCGCAAATTACAGGTTGATTAGAACACAAGGGAATAGGAGCGATCCATAGATCGAAGAAACATAAGTATGCGCAAATGCACAAATGCCTGAGAATACCGCGATAAAATTGCGGGAGGAAAAAGCGTGATAAAATACCGTGAAAAGAAACAGAGTAACAATGCCAAATGGCAAATAGCATAATAGCAAAATAGCAAAACCGCAGAAAAAAAAATAATAACCTGCGCGAGTTCACCGTAGTGAAAACGGCACCGTAGTCTCGTAACCAAGCCATGGCAGGGTTGAGACTAGGGCTATAGACCATGAGAGAAGATTAACAAAAAATGGAATTTATTACGAAGAAGACAACGTGAGTTTTAGTATCATGGCGCCGTCATCTCCTTCACCGCCCATCTCAGCATCACACCAGTTGAGAACAACTCAACCCTTCCACTCATTTGGCCACTCAGATTGAGGCATGACTTCCTACTAACTACGCTATTAAATACTTGCGAAAAACGATTGAGTGGTTCCTCGTACAAAGTACCAAGGGCCACTGAAGTTCTGGTCCTCCCGAGACCGAAAAAAAGTATCCCTGAAAATTCACGACTACAAAATATCTGATCTGCAGATACCGCTCTTACTGTGGCGGGAAAGTCTTCGATGCGATACCAGTCGTTCGGACTGTTCCCGTCAGAATATCTCGAGGTCCAGTCGTAAGATCGTGTTGTAGCGGAAAAAAACAAACATACTTCGTCACCAGATATCCCATACGGCCAGAAAAGCGTATGCTGTTGCCGCGATAAACTTTACCCATAAGCGACTGCGTTCAGATGGCTGGATACTCCCCCGGATCGACCTTACGGCTCCAAGATTTCATGTTGTCGAAGGGACAGAGGGCAACTTTGCGGCAAAAAACAGGTCTTTAGCTATCGTAGAGCATTTTTATCACATCCATGAGACTCCCCCATAATGGCACTGGATCCCGCCGCTGCATCCACTGTAGACCTGCGACGACAATTGTTGTCGGGTAAGTAAGCTTCCTAAGTTCTTCGGCCAAAGACAGCACCGCGCAACATATCAGGCCTTCGTTACTGCAATTGAGTGAGATCCTTAAGATAGTGTTTGCCACGGTAGCGAATTTCGTTGTTTTTGGTCCAAAAGATAGGAAGTCTTTATATGTCCGTAAGCGCACGCAACCAGAGGACCAGATGGTTCCGACATTTTTGAATTTGTGGGAAGCGAGAACAACAACTTCGTTGTTTGCGACCATGATTCGTGTTTCCAATAAGTCCAAAACCCCGATCCCGGGGTCTGTCCGTTCCAGGGCTAACTCAACCGGGTAGCAACTGGAAATCCGTTCAAACCGTTCTTCTACATTTTTCTCTCCTTCTGGATCGTTCTTGTAATAGAAGGAGAACAACAAAAGGTCGTCAATGTACCGTTTCCCGGATATGAGCCTCGCCTCGGACCCAAGGAACCAGATAAACTTAGACTCGACAAACATGTATATAATACAGGCAAGTGGTGGACTTGCCCGTCCTCCCATAGGGAGTCCTTTTTTCTGCTTCAGAATACTGTTTGTAACGAGAAAGAAGGTGTTATTTAATAGGAAATTTGTTAAAGTGACCAATTTGCGCAGCCTTAAAGACTTCCACCCAGCCTCTCCGTGAGATTTTTCAAACATCACCTGTTTTTTCCGAGTGTTAAATCTGAACCATCGAATACCTCGTTCTTCGAACAGACTGACTATCCATTCGACTGCGAGGCGAATCTCGTCGTGAGGCAATTGCGTGAACATTTCTTTTATGTCGTACGTGTGGGCCGAGACCATGAGGCCGTCTGACTTTTTACATCGTAAGTTGACTTTTTCAATCTCACTGCTCAGATCACTCAGACTTCTCAGGTTGAAGTGCGGGACGTGGGACCTCCTTATTAGTTCATTCAAGCCCAAAGACAAAACAGCAGATGCAGAACGAAAGGGACTAAGATATGATGGGACAATAGATCTCATTTTTCCTTTGTCCTTTTTTTTCGTCATTATGTATGCATAATGGAGTACACCATGCGAGTCCCAATTGGCAGCATCGGATATCTTGTCTTGTTTATACGCCTCTCGGATTTTTGAAAGAACTGTACTTTTTCTTTTTTTCTGACCTCATAGTTCGTGTTTTMTAGGAACATMTTTTTTAGGCCGTCTTCATACCTTTTTGGGCATTGGATCCATGTTTCGTCTRGGTTCCAATCCAAGGGGTACAGGACCAWMCCGGAGAAAACTTGTTTGACCCCTATGACGTACTCGTTCAGAACGCAGCGAACAGGCTTCGACTGACCTTTCCTTCTCACAACCGCTGGGTTAATTCGGAACTGTGTCCGGATAAACTCAACCTTGTGTAGATAACACACTGYAGTGCGTCATTACATGCTCTATTAAGTCCGTCCTTTRCTGCAATAGTGYCAGGAAAAGGCACGTCTTTTGAGTTGAACAAAAATRWGTGCATGCCGTCAACCTCACTGAGCTTGACTGTGACATGYCCGTCGATGCGGGGCAGGTCGAGGTCAGCACAGGTGCCGTCAAGACTACAACTCTGTGCAAAGACCTTCTGGTTATGCAGGAGATCCCCCACCGATTTGGCTTTCGTCCAAACGGCTCTGGTTCTCTTTGCATACAAGTCCACTAGCGAGGTGGGCAACACATTATCCACAATCCACTTTTTTACTTCCAATTCGACGAGTGCTTTGTCAATAGTTGTACAAAACAGAATCTTAATAGTTACATTGGCATGAGGGTTCAAACCAAATTTCTTCTTGAAGACACTTGTCAAGATGCCACAAATTATCTGCCGACCACGTTCTTGGTTCACCGTTTTTACGGCTTTGTTAAGTTCAATCAGTTCGTCCAACCCACATTTATACAGATCTTTCCGTTTCCAGGGCGCCCTTAGTAGTGAGATCAGTTCCCCTTTCCTATGTTTATACCTTGTCTTAGTTCTGAAAAGTTCCGTGATCTKCCATTCCCCACCTTCCTCGATTGCTTGTTTAGCATCTTCAAGGAGCAGGTTGTGCCCCTTGCATTTCACCTTGGTGAAACCGAAGAGCAAAACAATYAATCGCCATGCTTTCACCCATCTACATCCAATGTTATTCATCATATTGATCAGTCGAYGCTTCTTACGTTTTTCYAGTAATTTTATAATGCGGAGTAGATCAGGCTCACCACTCACATCCAAACCTGAGCAAGCAAACAACAGAGGTTCCTTAATTACTGCGGGGTTGGGACCAGACTCTATTTACCTGCTTTGTTTGCCACGGGGTTCCCATTTTCGATTCTGTTTTTTTTTGCCACGCGCATTTAGCGTAGGGTTAAGACTCTTAATTAGAACAAGTTCCAATGTTTCGATTGTACATTCTTCTCCGAACCAAATCGCGGGTGGAGGTAAGTTGTACCTCACGAGACCTTATCCTATCGTAGGGACTCGATAGAGGTATAGTTGGCGCACCGGTCGGAGCCGCTCCGTTGCGTTCCCTTAAGTGATGTGACTCGCGAATCTGTCAATCCTGTGTGAGGGGACCGGGAAGGTCCCCTTCACGGGGACCGTGCGCTTGACAACGGTTTGAGGCAGATCAGTTTTAATTCCACCTTCTTTTTATCTTTCAATTGAAGGGAGAGGAACCAAAGATGATCAAACTTACTATGAGACATGGACTCATTTGCAAATGGTTGAACGTATGAGTACACTGAGTCTGTTGCAACCTCATTGGGGTCTGACACACATGCTGAATCATCTGCAGTAGGTGATCAATCCAGTTCAATAGGGGTGGATGCAACCTCTATCGGCCTGTCTATTTTTTTTGAACTGTTGTCCCAGGTTGGGCAGTCCTTCACATAATGATTGCCCTTACATCTAAGGCAAACACCCTGATGCTTTCTCTTTTGTCAGACTGTTTCCTGGATTTTCGTATCTCGCCAAAGAAATGAGGCAGGATTCATTGGGTTAGGTGGGCATCTGACAAACTTGGGTAAGTTAGGCTTTTGTGGACCACTGGGCCCTTCTTGGGACTGGAGTTCCTTTGACCCCGAAATTGGGTGGCCCCTTTTGAGAAGGCCATCAATGTCGGGGTAACTGCAAGAGCAACTTTCTGAAGTGAGAATCTTGCATCTTGGGCAGATGGGGGAGTAGATTCACCTTGGCCAGAACCTGCAGAATCATAATCAGATTTCATACCATACATGTCTCCATTTCCCTTACTCCTACTTTGAGGAGTTGCTTCCCTTCTGGGAAGTGGACTAGATCTGAAGTGTAGCCTCCAAATGTAGTGCTGCTCTGCCAAAGGTCCTCTAGTGTTTGTGGCCTGCAGTGTACAGGGCCGTGGTATACTTCTCTGGAGCTTCCCTAACAAACCAAGTTAGTTTATCAACCTCAGACATCTTCAGGTCAGGTGTGGAGGTAAGGCGCTTAAACACTGCATGGAGTTTGGTCAGGGGTCCCTTCCATTTGCATTGGTCAATTATGACCTACTAATTTGCAGCCTTTCGGTCATTCTTCTTGCCAACTTGAACAAAACACATCTCCAAACCCCGAAAGATGCCATTCAATCTTGTTGCAACTCCCCAATCATCCAACTGTTTCTGGGCCTTGCTGGTCTCAGAAGTAGCCCACTTGAGTGTTGAGTCTCCAAGCAGAGCCATAATAGACTGCACCTTGTTGACTTCTAGGAACCTTTTGAGATATAATCTCATGGATGCAATCCAGTCTGTCACATCCACTTTGGAGTCATCTCCAATGAATTTGCCAGGCTGGATCATCTTGGGGTACCTAGGCTTGAAAGTATCATGTCTAGGA